CCTCTCTTCTGTGGGGTGACGAGCAGTACTGTTTACTTTAGCCACATTTAGCCGCGAAACTTGCTAACTAGCACATTATTTGGAAAGGCGATTTGCAAAGCTTCATAAAAAAAACCTTATACTCACTTCTGTAGGTGAGGCTGGATCACAAATGATTCGCACCAACATAGATGCATTTAGGCAGATCGGGAGGAGCATTCCCTTCAAAAGCTAAAGTAATTCACTGCATCTTCAGCGGCTCAGATGTCGGGAGTAAATGACGACTGCTATATTCATTACTACATCCAAGAACAGAACACCTCAATCGCTATGGAGACATTCTTGTCTATGTCCCTGCTCCAGTGAAACAATGGCGGTCGGACTGTTCACAGCTCACTCAGGGCGGGTCTAAGGTAAGACGGGCGTGTCAATCAACAATTGTGGGAGGGGCCTTGGTCTGTGTGACGTCACACAGACAAGAAGCTGAGAACGGCTTGATTTGAAAAATTGGATATTATTTTTAGGGATTAAATAAAAACCACTGGGTGCATTTTTATCATTATAGGGTGGATGTGTACACACACTGCCAACACACATTTATGTTCAAACAAAATGTAAACGTGAATTTTGCATCCAATGACCCCTTTAAGCCCAGAGTTTCCGAGTTGGGGGCGTGTCAGTGAAAAAACGTGTCGGATGCAATGGACGCAGCCAAAGACTTGATATGCAGCGTCTGTACTGACAGTAAATTTGTTGAAATGAATCAAATGACATTTTTTTGCTATGTACAATAAAACTATATGTTACAGATGCAAAATATATTATTGTATAATTACTATAGAATATATAGTGATTCCGTTTACATCACCTTGATAAATTTAATAAAAACAGAAAAAAAGCTAAAACACTATGATGCACATTTTTTATTCATCATTTTGTAGATGTAGAGTAAAAAAAACGTTGCATTTTATGTAGAAAAGTGAAATCTTGTTCTTGTTGTTTTCTTGTTCTTTTATTCATCATTTTGTAGATGTAGTGTTAAAAAATCGTTGCATTTTATGTAGAAAAGTGAAATCTTGTTCTGACCAAAAGTGACTTAAACGCATCTAATGTCGTAATTACGACTTGTCAACTCGTAAGTATGAACATCCCAGGAGGACTTGAATGCAGCATAAGAACCGCTGCTTTAGAATATTTATTTTGAAACTTGTGAATCCATTAGAATCATTAGAAGACAGAATCGCGATGTAAATATGAATAGATTTTTTCGTGCACCCCTAGTTTTGACGGCATGGCAACAACTCTTCCTCTTCTCTAAAGCAGCGGAACATGGCCCCGCCCCCTTTGTTGCATGTTCCCGGGGGTGGGGTTTATGTCAATTTCAGGGTTTGTGATGTCACCAACCCAGGAAGTAGCTCGTTGTTGTCCCTACCAGTCGTAAGTGTAGGCATTAAACTGCCATAATATTAAAAGACAATATCTCAGTTTGCATTGAACTTTCAGTGTCGTAACTTTGCAGATATTGTTTATGCTCAAACAGCAACATTACACACTAACTAAAGTTAAAAAAGTGAAATCACAACCACCCCTTTAACTGACTTGGTGTTATGCGGTGATAATTAAGTGTTCCCTGAATTTTTTGAGCAGTGTATTACAATTCTAAATAACTAACTTCTATTTCTTTTCATTTTAAAATATACTTTATTCCAGTGATGCCAAAATCTTCATTGCCATATGATCCTTCAGAAATCATTATAATATTTTCTGATTATACACAACTTTCGTTTTCTGTTCCGTTTTCTAAGCTGCATGAATGACTTGCTCAGAAATATGCATGATTATGAAATCACAACCATGATCCCATTAACATATACATCAACATGTATTCAGTATTCATCTTTAGAAGTCTTGGTCAATAAGTCTTGCACGGCAGTTACAGTGAGTCCATTAAACACTGTATTCCATTATGTAAGAATGTTGAAAGGGCTTTTGAGACAGTCTATGCACAAATTGGTTTGCTGCTGTGATGACAGTGCAGTCATTACGCATCCATTAGCAGGAAAATAAACATGCTTTGTTTTGGCGGTGTGTGTATGGTGAACTGGATGACGGTGTAAGAGTAAATTAGGATGGAGAGAGAGGCCATGCTCTGTCAGATTGGGAGGGGGGTGTCATTGTTATGAGGTTACACACTTCAGACACTCTATTACAGTGACATTAAGGAACAGCGAGCAGCTTGGACCCCCTAACACACGCAGTTATTGCTGCAATGTACACACCAACAGAGCCAAACATAAAATTGATTTTCACTCAGGTTGGAGACCAATAAGTTGTGTATTGACTAAAGCAAGAGGAACCCATTAGAAAGGGTCTAATTTCACAATTAGAGTGCTGATATAGACACTAGCAATAGTTCTCCACTGGACTCAACTTCAACTAGACACAGATTAAAGTCAACCTGAAATGCCATTTGCTAACCATTTTACTTCCAGAATGTGATATATTTCAGAGTGAGACGATTAAAATGACAAAAATACAGGGTGTGACTTGATTTTATCATTCTATGATGATTCTAATACAATTATTAAATTTATTTATTTTTAAGGGGGTATAAAGTAAAAATGTCAGGGTGGTACAATGTAATGAACAAAAAGTCCTATTAAAATGATAAAATTCTTGAAAAGACAATGTTATTAAGTAGTTTGGTTCTTATATTTTAGTATTATTTCTTTATGATTTAATAACAGTTCCTTGAACAAAACTGTTTCGATGTTTATAATCTATTAAAAAAAAATGTATTTAAAAATCTTAAGTCCACCAAATTAAAGTAATGTGAGGTGACCAGAAATGATGCAACCAACGCGCAGAAAACAAACAAAAACAAGAAATTACACAAAAGAAGAACATGCAGACCCTCATGACTATGTGTCAAAGTCAGCCAATTTCGTAAAATATCAGATTTTACCTTTTCATTACAAGGCTAGGTTAGTTCAGGTTGTACAATGTCATGCGTTATGACTCTCCAAAAACGTACTTCATGTACAAAAAAAAAATCCCTTTTTCCCTTCAAATATCAAGAATTATATAGGACTGCTATCGTCAAACTGGCACTTTTGAGGAGACTTTTTATGCAGAACAAGGAGCTGTTTATATGTATACATATTGGGGGTCTCTAGATTGGCCTAGAGTCTGTGGGGTGTCTGGGTCTGTAAAACCCCTGCTTTACAACATGTGGTCTGGGGTGCTTCTATTAGATCGCCTCGGACCCTGATAGGTTCTTCTCCTGTCTGATAAAGATGATAGATGTAGATGATATTGCCCCTGAAATCCACCTGAGGTCAATTATACTGGCAGGTGGTGCTGATGATGTGGAGACTGATAGTATTCATAAAGTCCACAAATAGCAATTGAATTCCACAGTGTTCCTATAACCTCTGAGTGTCCATGTGCATCTCATTTTCAGGCATCTCCCATAGAGGCTTGATATTCACTTTATTCCAGTATGAATTCCCCAGATCACTATAGCAGCGGTTCTCAAACTTTTCCATGCTATGACCTGCCTAGGGAGGTATCATAAAGGTCTAATCCATCACTTTTAGACATTTTAGAGTGAAATATGAATTTGAAATACATTTTCTCACTATCATACTATTACACTGGATAGGCCTTCTTATCAGTTTCATTACTGTAAGGCAGATAAACAGAATAAGGATCTGGTGAAGGAGTCTTTTTGAATGATTCATTAAAAGAACAGTTTCGTAAGAGAAGTTTGTCCATAAATTGGACTACATTGGTCACGCTGTGTGTTAATTTTTGCATGCAGCCCTCGAGGAGTTCGTGTGGTGTGTAACATGAGAAACAATTATAATTAAAGGTACGCCTACCAACAAACATTTGAGAACTCTCTATATTTCATATTTGGACACGAACATCACCATTCTTTCCACAGCCAAATTTATTCAGCCAATCCACAGTTTGAAAAGTGCTGCAAATACTCTTAGTAATCCACTCTACCAAGAGTTGTCACTCTTCAAAATGTTCTCTTTTTTTTCCCCACAGAACAAAACACATCATACAGTATGGAATGTCACGGTGATAACAGAAGTCACTTTTGATACGTGCTAAATGACAAGACACCAAATAACAAGACAGCTGTCACTATGAGTGTACTATATCTTATATAGTGTACTCATGAATTATTTATATTGCCATTGGCGAGAAGATAAACCTGCCCATTAAATCATACTCACAGATGTGTTGTGCAGCTGGAGTTGGGTGTCGTGGGGTCCGTCAGATGTAGTGTAACAGGAGGAGAATGCTGGGCTGACAGGAGGAAGCCAACCGATAGGATACACAGACTCAAAACAGTACCTGTACAGAAATAATCAAAAATCCATATGTATAAAAACAAGATATATTTTGGCATATCTCAAAATGTTCAGAATAGCATTTCAAATAACGAAAAAGTAGTGGAAACATGGGCAAGTTATCAGACAGGGAAGTTGCAACAAGGATTATATTTGTCTAACCAGTTTTTGAGTCCAAGGTACAATTTAAGTATATCTTTCGCATAGTGGTAATATGTTTTTGCTTTCATTTTAAACTATTTCATTACGATATCTGTTGGATACAGTTGAACAACTGTTTCATGTTTGTATATTACAAACATATGAACTAGCCCCAGTCTCTCTTAACTAGTGAGTTAAAAAGGCACCCAAATGTTACCCAGAATACATTTTGAATGTGCTGGAATATATTCTGCTTCTTCAAGTATGTAAGAATCTTACCAAAGATGCTTCCCAACGTAAGTCTGCGTCTGCCCACCCTTTCAACCAACCAAACGCCCAGCAAAGTAAACAGAAAATTTGTGAACGCTGTTACAGTCACTAGCCAGATGGCCAACTTGTCATCACGTACTCCAGACATCTGCAGAATGGTGGCGCTGTAGTACCTATAAACAGAGTGCAAAGGAAACATATATATATATTATATAACTTCCTGGTGCTTTTCAAGTCCTTTTTTGTAGGTTACATGTCAGGTTACTTTTTATGGATATATTCCGTTCTGACTGAAAAGCAAGGATACAACCACATTGCATTCTCGGTATTATTCCTTACAAATAATAAGAGCATGTTAGTATGTATTTTTGGACATAGCCAGACACTTTAGTTACTGCTTCATCTCTGACTGAGCCATCCAATCAGTGCTACTTCGCCCACATACCATCCAATGAGATTGTGGCCTTGCAACTCAACTCTTTCTGGCTGATGTCATCTCAACTTTTTCAATTAAAACTGCCTCCATTTTGTATCAAGCATACTTACAACTAATTGCCTTTCATTGTGATTTACAGGGCTTTGAATGCATCAAATAATCATTTTCTGTGGGCAGTGAGCAGGGGTCTAAATGATTTTTTTTTTCACTCTAGCTATTAATCGTAAATCAGCAGGAGTTGTACTTTAAATCCTTCTTTACTATTAAAAACATACAATATACTGGCATTCTATACAGTAATTAAGCATGTACTCAGAAACACAGACTCACACTCGTCTGTGACATCAGAACTTGAACGCCGCATAATGGATGTGAGGTTAAGCGAGAGAGCGACACTCGAGCAAAAGTGTTTTTCTCCACACAAAAGAGTGAATCAGGAAAACATTCATTAACCCAAAGTAAAATGCCATCTTCCTGCTCTCTCTCTCTCTCTCTCTCTCTCTCTCTCACTCACATTCATAAGGGATTTGCATTATTATATGCTGCCATAGTCTTGAATGCCGGCTTATACAGAATTAACTCATCCAAGGATTACAATTCTTTCACTTACTCACCTTCATGTCATTCCAAACTTACATGATTTTCTTTCAGAATTTTCACCCTGCTCTTTTCCATATAACACAAAGTGAATGTTGACCAGTGGGCTGGTCAAGCTCCAAAAAAATAGTGATTGCAAATTAGTTTTGATCTCAATCATTCATGAGATGTCAAATTCTAATATGTGCATATTTAAATCACATTAATGAGATTTGACAGCAACAGTGGATGGGAAATTTGTGATGGGAAAAAGTGAATATCAAATTCACACATACATTTCAATCTAATTTTCAAGACTCAGAATATATTGTACAAGTTATGGGCTACTGATGGGATACTTTTTTTTTCCCTGCATAGTTCAGCTTGACAGCATTTGCCTCAATTTACTTTTACTGTAAGGGGAAAATTTGGACAACAATGATGTGTTTAAAGACCGAAACATACTCTGTGCAAGCATGGATCAGCTGGATTTCATAGGTCACTGGCTGCATCCGAAATCTGATACTTTAATATTATATAGAAGGTGAAAATAAGTTTGTGAAAAGAGTAGTATGATCAAATACACAGTGTTCATAAAACAGTTGGTGAAAAGTACCTGGATGACTTACAACTTGATGATTCTGATGTGCACATGTGATGGACATTTTACTAAAAGTTTTTACTACAAAAATTTTTGCTGCAAATAAAAGTAATGTTGCAATTCACTTTGTAACTGGTTCATGGCTTATAATGCTTTAACAAAGACTTTTTAAAATCTCTATGGGGGAAAAAAAAAATGAATGGAAAAATACTTCTGAAACCAGCTAACTTAATACAGTATATCGTGCCTGCGTTTCATTTCAGACATCTCGACAACTTATTGTTACCTGATCCATTTATTTAATGCACGAATTAAATTAAGGATTAATGCAAGAATGCATGCTAAGTATGTACAACAAAACCGAATACACTGGATACAGCTGATGAATTCCACAGAAATCGTGTGGTTTTTCAGTACAAGTAATCTCAGTGGAAAGTCTGGATGTCCAGTGTTACTTCTGCTATTACTGAAGAGAATTTAACAAGAGATACAGAGATTTTGTGATAAAAAAAGAAAAGAAACAATGCTTTCAATCTACCCGCTGAGACACTCTCTCAGTGTGTAAAAAGGACACGCTCTGCTCAGAGAGTGCTGATAAGAAGAGCTGCTGTGAGATCACACATTTGGGGTCTCTATTGTTTGGTCTACTGTGGCAGTTTTAAACTAGAAACAATGTTTAATTAGGCAGAAATCCAGGACAGACGGTGTCTGTGTTCAAATTCAACAAAGAGACTTAAAAACTGCCAGATTTGCAGTGGTTTCCTGTAGGAATGGTTACTAAACATTGCTTTTTATATTTTGTGACAGCTGAAATCTGACATGTGAAGTGTGAAAAAGTGAATGAGTACTCTGTTTTCTATGTTTGGTTGCCCCAACAAATGTAACCATATCTGCCATAACCAACACGTACTAAAGTAAAACCATATGAAAAATTGCATCCACACCGTAAGTGGTTCTAAGTAGCATTTGGCATATTTATTAGCATGACTCCCAGAAAAGGTGGTTCGGTCGTCTTGTTTAAGCTGGTCTCCCAGTTTGGTCAAGTTGACAGTTACCTCAAACCTCTTCAAAACCAGTAATATAGACGAGCCTGCAAGTTTTTCTTGTCTCGCTTGTGTTATCACCAGTGCTGGGTAGTAACTGTGTGATTACATGTAATCTGGATTACATAATCAGACTCCAAAAATTAAGTACTTGTAATTAGAGTATTACATTTTAAAATGCTCATGATCAGATTACAGTTACTTTTTTATGGGTTACATAATTACAAATTGTTCACAGAATGGCAGTAAATGATAATTTATTGATTCTGCCTAATTCCTTTTATTTCTTTTTTACATTTTCCTCTCTAAACATCCTGTTGTGTCATTGCATTTAGCTTTGACTGCAGGTAAACAAATATAATATTTATATTTTTAGTGTTCAAGTAACAAGTAAAAATAATTTATTTTTATTTTACTTTTTTATGATTTTATTTATTATTAATGTAAAATAATGTAAGGATTACTGCATTGTATGATGTTGATATATTAAAAATAAATAAATACATTTAATATATTTTCTTTCTCTTTGCCTTTTTATAAGTTAGATAAAAAGTAATCTAAAAAGTAGTCTGAATACATTACCTAAAATTAGTAACCTAGATTACATTACTAACTACAATTTTCATCATGTCATTTATAACCAGCTCTGGTTATCACATTTCTAAACCATTTACCATATGAATCTGCTTCTTATCAACTCACAAACCCACTACAGGTCTTACTTTAAGCCAAGTTTGGGAAACCCTGGTGTAATGTAAGGATTACTGCATTGTATGATGTTGATATATTAAAAATAAATAAATACATTTAATATATTTTCTTTCTCTTTGCCTTTTTATAAATTAGATTAAAAGTAATCTAAAAAGTAGTCTGAATACATTACCTAAAATTAGTAACCTAGATTACATTACTAACTACAATTTTCATCATGTCATTTATAACCAGCTCTGGTTATCACATTTCTAAACCATTTACCATATGAATCTTGTGAAAACCAGTCACATTTCATATCAAAGAAAAAAACAAACAAACACCCACACTGACAAATACATTGCTGTCAATTGTTCACAATGCGTTTTCCTTCTTCATGCATTATTGACACCAATGTCAACATTTTTTTTCTACTGTAAATTGTTAAAAAAAAAAAAACTCTATTTTGACCCCCAGCCAGCATCTATCAGATTGAGAAATTACATCGCTCTAATTATTTAGCCATTCAACACATGAATCAGCTGTGAGACATTGAGCATTTAACCAACTTATTAAAAAAGGTCATTTTGGCAGCTAATGCAAATTTAAACTGAATTAATTCCCACTTTCATGAAGACTGGAATACCGTTGTGCTTTACGTAGACTTTCACACATCCATTGTTTGTGCCTGCAGACCCAGGCCTCTCAGAGGAGAGTATCACGTTTGCCTAGTTCTCTGTTCACAGTATTCCCTTGTGTGTACGTGTTTAAAAGTGCTCTGTCTTGATCCTTAAAAGCATCCTGGCTCCATTCCATTGAGTTGATGAAAACTGGAAGCCTTTGGTTGCCCTCATCAAGGGTCTTGGAAAAAAAAAACTCATTCCCTAATTGTCTCTTCTATTGGCCACAAACATGCTGGATAAAAACCCTGATAAAAGAAGAAACGGGGTACAGTACCATAGTACAATGATAGAGAGATGCGGTATTGTTTGTGGTAAAAGTGGTGTCAAAGGTCAGGAAATGAGAAGAATGAAGCCTAAGCCACTGATGAGTGTTCACTACAGGGGTAGAAAATAGATGTGTCTTATTCCTTGCACACCATGGCAATTGCTTTCTTTCCCTGTTTCATAATACAGTGGTTCTGGCAGAGGGTCAGCGACCCCTGTGGATTTCTTCAGATAATCTCAGCTGCAGATCTACAGGTCTTCAAGCGGCTAACACCACTTTCTGCCACTGAGTAATGTTAGTATCAATAAATGCAAGATAAGGACACCAAATATCATATGCATTTGTACCCTGTATTTAAATTACAAGTAAAATTGTAAAAAAAAAAAATTATTTAGCTCCGCCCATTCCCATAAAGCACCATGAACGACATAATAAAGTTGGTTTACCTACTATAAAAACATTGATCACGAATCATTTTAACAAGATCAGTCCATCACGACCAGCTAAATTACCAGCTGTCTAGTTATCAACCAAAATAGAAAACCGTTTCTTGACTTTTATAGCTTACGTAAGCTGGATTGTTGATGCCGATAGTTAAAAGATTCTCAGTGAAGCTGAAAAATAGAAAAACAAGACAGATTGACACAAGTAAAATTGTAAAAAAAAAATATTATTTAGCTCCGCCCATTCCCATAAAGCACCATGAACGACATTAATAAAGTTGGTTTACCTACTATAAAAACATTGATCACGAATCATGATCATTTTAACAAGATCAGTCCATCACGACCAGCTAAATTACCAGCTGTCTAGTTATCAACCAAAATAGAAAACCGTTTCTTGACTTTTATAGCTTACGTAAGCTGGATTGTTGATGCC